TCTTCTTTATATTTCCTTTCTCCTAAGCACTTATTTCTCAGTTTCATGTTTAAGTACGATTATCTCATTTACATCTCTCTCTCCAGTGGATTGTTTCCGTTGCCTCCATTGGAGCCCCGTAAATAGGTGTTAGGAAGAACTGCTTAGAGTGTTGAGGATTCCAGAGGGTTGGACTGGAGTTTGCAAGTATGGCATGAAGACTGTGATGGTAGACTTACCTGTGGAAGTCTTGGAGTTAAGGTGAGAAGGTTGGTCAAGACTGGTCATGAGCACGAGGCCTATTAGTATCCTAGGCGGTAGGGTGAGACTAGCCACAGGGATAAGGCACTGGGTCTACACATTTCTGAGGAAGCAAAGTAGATGCAGGTATAAAGCACAAGGGTTTAGATGTTCCGAGGAGGCAGAGTAGATACAGATGAGGCACTGGGCCTGCAGATGTCTGAGGAGGCAGAGTAGAGGCAGGGATGAGGCTCAGGGCCTACAGATGTCTGAGAGGCAGAGTAGATGCAGGTATGAAGCTCTGAGCCCATAGATGTTTGAGGAGGCAGAGCAGACACAGGTGAGAGTTGGGCCTACAGAAGTCTGATAGGGCTGAGTCGCTGCAGGCATGAAGAACTCAGCCTACGCACGTGTCAGAGTAGATGCAGGTATGAGGCTCCGGGTTTGCAGAAGTCTGAGGAGGCAGACCAGACACAGGTATGAGGCACTTGGCCTACAAATATCTCAGAGGCAAAGTAGATACAGATATGAGGGGCTGGATCTGCAGATGTCTGAGGAGGCACAGCAGATGTAGGTGTGAGGTGCTAGGTCTACAAATGTCTGAGGAGGCACAGTAGACACAGGTATGAGGCATGCACTGGGCCTGCAGATGTCTGAGAGGCAGAGTAGATGCAGGTATGTGGCGCTGGATCTGCAGTTGTCTGAGGTGGCAGACTAGACACAGGTATGAGGCACTCGGCCTGCCATGTGTGTCAGGCGGAGTAGACACGGATATGAGGTGCTGGGCCTGCAGATGTCTGAAGAGGCACAACAGATGCAGGTATGAGGTGCTGGGTCTACAGGTGTCTGAGGAAGCAGTGTACATGCAGGTACGAGAAGCGTGCTGGACCTGCAGATGTCTGAGGAGGCAGAGTGGACACAGGTATGAGGTGCTAGGTTTGCAGATGTCTAAGGTGGCAGACTAGACAATACAGATGTCTAAGGAGGCACTCAGACAATATGTGTGTCAGGCGGAGTAGACACAGGTATGAGGTGCTGGGTCTGCAGATGTCTGAGGAAGCAGTGTACATACAGGTATGAGAAGTGTGCTGGACCTGCAGATGTCTGAGGCAGAATGGACGCAGGTATGAGGTGCTGGATCTACAGATGTGTGAGGAGGCAGAGTGGATGCAGGTATGAGGTGCTGGGTCTACAGATGTCTGAGGAGGCAGAGTGGATGCAGGTGAAGCATTGGGCCTACAAATGTCTGAGGAGGAAGAGCAGACACAGGTATGAGGCACACGCTGGGCCTGCAGATGTCGAAGAGGCAGATTAGACAGCAGGTATATAGGGCTGGATCTGCAGATGTCTAAGCAGACTAGACACAGGTAACAGGCAGCCAGCTTGCACATTTCTTAAGCAGAGTAGATGCAGGTATGAGGGTCAGGTTCTGTGGTGGTCTGAGGAGGCAGACTTGATACAGGTATAAGGCCCTGGGCCTACAAATGTCTCAGAGGAAGACTAGGTACAGGTATGAAGTATTGGAGACCAGCAGATGGCATAATCGTTACCTTGCTGGGCTTCCATGTAGTCTACTGCAGCTTGAGTCCCAGACCCGGCGACTTAAAATTCATGCTGGGTGTATGTGTATGCGTGCCCAAAATCCCAGGAAAAGAATGGAGGAAAAGAGATTGTGGTGTGGCCACCCCCTCTAAGGGGTCATTTATCGCTTTCTGTCTCTCTGTGTCTCTGGTGAGTGCATACGCACTAGAGCAAAAGTCTCTTAAAAAATAAATAAGTAAAAAATAACAACAACAGGTATGAAGTAGTGCAGCTGCAGAGTAGGCGCAAGTATGAGTCCCTCAGCCTGCGTATGCCTCAGAGTCAGAGCAGACACAGGTCTGAGGCATTGGGTTCACAGATGCCTGAAGTGGCAGAGTAGAAATGGGTATGAGGTGCCGGTCTGCTGATGTCTCAGGAGGCAGAATAGACCCAGGTTTGAGGTTCTGGGTCTACAGATGTCTGAAGAGGCAGTGTACATGCAGGTATGAGAAGGTGCTGGGCCTGCAGATGTCTCAGGAGGCAGAGTGGATGCAGGTGAGTCATTGGGCCTTTAAATGTCTGACAAGGTAGAGTGGACACAGGTATGAGGCACTGGATCTGCAGATGCCTATCATGGAAGACTAGATGCAGGTATGGGCACTGGGCCTACACATGTCTCAGAGGCAGAGACGCAGGTATAGGCGCAAGATCCGCTGATGTCTGAGGAGGCAGAGTAGATGCAGGTATGAGGTACTAGGTCTACACCTTTCTGGGGAGGAAGGGTAGACACAGGTATGAGGCATGCACTGGGCCTGCAGATGTCTGAGGAGGCAGAACAGATGCAGGTATGAGGCTCTGGGTCTACAAATGTTGGAGGAGGTAGATTAGACAGCAGGTATGTGACGTTGGGTCTGCAGATGTCTAATGTGGCAGACTAGACACAGGTAGGAGGCACTCAGCCTGCATGTGTGTCAGGTGGAGTAGACACAGGCATGAGTTGCTGGGTCTGCAGATGTCTGAGGAAGCAGTGTACATGCAGGTATGAGCAGTGTGCTGGGCCTGCAGATGTCTGAGGAGGCAGAACTGATGCAGGTATGAGGTGCTGGGTCTACACATTTCTGAGGAGGAAGAGTAGACACAGGTAAGAGGCATGCACTGGGTCTGCAGATGTCTGAGGAGGCAGAACTGATGCAGGTATGAGGTGCTGGGTCTACACATTTCTGAGGAGGAAGAGTAGACACAGGTAAGAGGCATGCACTGGGTCTGCAGATGTCTGAGGAGGCAGAACTGATGCAGGTATGAGGTGCTGGGTCTACACATTTCTGAGGAGGAAGAGTAGACACAGGTAAGAGGCATGCACTGGGTCTGCAGATGTCTGAGGAGGCAGAACTGATGCAGGTATGAGGTGCTGGGTCTACACATTTCTGAGGAGGAAGAGTAGACACAGGTAAGAGGCATGCACTGGGTCTGCAGATGTCTGAGGAGGCAGAGTAGACACAGGTATGTGGCTCTGGATCTGAAGATGTCTAAGATTGTAGACTAGACACAGGTAGGAGGCACTGGGCCTACGAATGTCCGTCTACTCTAGCAGAGTAGATATAACGGATGTCTAAGATGGTAGACTAGACACAGGTAGGAGGTACTGGGCCTATGAATGTCCGTCTACTCTAGCAGAGTAGATATAAGTGAGGTACTAGGTCTACACATTTCTGAGGAGCAGAGCAGGCACAGGTAGGAGGTGCACGCTGGGCCTGCAGATGTCAAGGAGGCAGATTAGACAGCAGGTATGTGGCGCTGGATCTGCAGATAGCAAACGAGACTCAGGTCTGAGACTCTCGGCCTTGTACCGGTCTCAAAGGCAGAGTGGATGCAGGTATGAGGCTCAGGGTCTGCAGCTATCTGAGGTGGCAGACTGGATGCAGGTATGAGGCACTGGGCCTGCAGACGTCTCCGAGGCAGACAAATACAGGTATGAGGCGCCTGGTCTGCACAGGTCTGAAGAGTCAGAGCAGATGCAGGTATGAGTTGCTGGATCTGCAGTTGTCTGAGGTGGCAGAGTAGACCCAAGTATGAGGTGCTGGTCTACAGATGCCTCAGTAGACAGACTAGGCCACAGTAGGAAGCTGTGGGTCTACAAATGTCTGAAGAGGCTGATAGGCACAGGTATGAGCTGCTGAGTCTGCAGGTGTCTGTGGAGGTCGCTCAAGCACAGTAGAAGACAGTAGGTCTGTCGCTCTCTGAGAAGTGGTAGGAACAGGCATATCAAATGTCTGATGAGGTGGACTGGGTGTAAGTTCTGGAACTGTCCTTACAGCTTACAGAGAATGGGCACAGGTGTGAGGCACTGGTTTGCTGTAAGAGTGGGAAACCAAGCCCACATCTGTGGCATTGGGTCTGTCGGCGTCTTCAGAGGCACACCCAGGCACGAGAATGAAGCTTGGGGGTGTCAGTACCTGAGGCGACTGGGCCAGACACACACAGGTGTGTCCAAGGTAGCACGGTATGAAGATCCGGGGTGACGGTCTGAGGCGCATGGTGCAAGTAAGAGGCACTTGGCAGCTGTTGAGGAGGTGGGCCTGGATGATGGGATAAAGCTCTGGGTCTTTCACTTTCTGAGGTCTGGCCAATGCCATGTAGGAGGTAGTAAATCCATCTGTTTCCAAGAGGTTAGGACCAGGCACAGTAGGAGACAATGGACCCGTCAGTCTGAGGAGGCAGGCTTAGGCACAGGTATGACGCTCTGGGTCTGTCCGTGTTCAAAGAAGCTGGACACAGGGTATGAGGCTCTGGCCTGTCACATATCTGAGCACAGGTATGAGGCTCTGGGCTTACGGATGTCTGAGAAGGTGGAGTCTGGCATAGGTATGAGGCATTTTGTCTGTCTGGGTCCGGGCATGAGGCACTGAGTCTAGGCACGGGTATGAGGTGCTGGGTCTGTCAGTGTCCAAAGAGGCTGGACCAATGGTGACTGGTGGAGCCTGGCCCAGGCACGAAGCCCTGGGTGTGCTAGTGCCTGAGGACTTAGGACGAGCCGTGGTAAGGTCTTCGGTTGAGCCCTGTGTAGTCTGCCCCGTTGGTTAGCCAAGAGTTACCGACGCCTGCCTGCTACCTTGCTTTCCCAGAGGTGGGCTGGAACCAGGCCCTGTGAGCTGCACTTACGGAGAGCACCTGAGCAGTCCCCTCAGGGGCAAGTTTCGTGGCAGGGGGGAGGGGGGTGGGGTGTGCCGGCCCTCCCTCAGCACCTTTTTTGTCTCTCCTAGTGGGTAGGCGGACGCTACTCGCTGTGGTCAGCCATCGGACTCTCTATTGCCCTGCACGTGGGTGAGTGTGTGTATGCTTCTGTGTCTCGCAGTCCCCCGGGAGACGATGTTGCAGCATGAGGTCGGGGTTGGGGGCTCGTGTCCTTGAACAGCTTGCTGCTGGCTTATTGCATGGCCGGAACATTCCTTGCAGGTCAGCGAGGCAGGCCCGGGTTTCCTTTGGGGTTTGCAGGTTGGCCCTGTTATCCAACCCTCACACTGCCGTCTGTTCCTCTCCCATTCAAGACAGTTAGATCCTGCTTTGTACTCAGGGGCAAATCTGACTAGTGAGGCCTTACTGCAGGCTCAAGTCCTCCCAGGGCCCGTTTCTTCTGGCTACATCCAGTCTCTCCCTGATTCCAGAAGAAGCTGGGTTCTCTGCCAGGAGGAAACAGGGCATGGCCATTTCTGCTGACAGTACTTTTGTGTCACAGGTTTTGACAACTTCGAGCAGCTGCTCTCTGGGGCTCATTGGATGGTGAGTGTGGAGGCTTGTGTTCTCTGCCCAGTGCTGGCCAGAGACATGGGTGTCGGTCCTGCTCCCTCCCACCCCCCTCCTCCTGTCCTCGGCAGCTGCTCAGCTCCCACACCCCCCTGCTCTCATTTCAGGACCAGCACTTCCGCACAGCACCCCTGGAGAAGAACGCCCCCGTCCTGCTGGCTATGCTGGGTGTCTGGTACATCAACTGCTTCGGGTGTGAGACGCAGGCCTTGCTGCCCTACGACCAGTACATGCACCGCTTTCCTGCCTACTTCCAGCAGGTACTGGCTTCTGAGCCAGGCACGGAGTCAGCAGGGCCTGGGGATGCCTGGGAGATCCTGAAGCCCAGAAGATTGGGTTCCAGCTCCTCCAGGAGCGTTGTTTTCTTTAATTGCTCGTGAGAGCATGTGCTTGCCAGAGACAGTGAGAAGGAGAGGGCGTGCTCACGCTGCAGTCCCTTCTCCATTTCTCCATCCCACTGATACGGGTACACATGTACATGCGTCCAGCACGTTTCTCAAGCCGCTGGAGCTGAGACCCAAACCATGGTCAGCTAGGTGGGATCCGGCTCCCTTAACCACTAGACGATGGGGCCAGCCCTCTTCCAGGAGGAGCTCTTGGCTCCACTGCTCTTGGGCATGGCCAAGGCCCACCTCTGCTCCCTGTCTCATGCTGAATCTTCGTAATCAGTGTCGGTTTGGTCCAGGTCAGCTGGGTTTGACTGCTGTGGGAGGGGCATGACTCGTCATCTCCATGCCCTGGCCAGTCGGATCCTGGCTTGGCTCAGGGCTTGTGTCTCAGCTGGGATCATTCCTTTCTTAGACATCACTCTGTGTACCTGCTGTAGGGTGGGGCCACAAGCCAGGACAGCCTGCGGACTACACTACTTTGGTCCCTCCAAAAAAGTGGGTTACAGCCCGTTGGTGGTACCTTTCTGGGCTACACAGCCCTCTGCCCTCCCCCAGAATCCCAGAGACTGAGCAGCTTGTCCCCACCCCTCCCACCCCCCCACCTACCCCCCATCACATTCTGTTCTGGAAAGCCCACCCCTATGTATTCCTGCTTTTGTTTGGTATAAATGTAGTCCCCGCCCTGCAGCCCTTGAGCTCCTTTGTGCAAATTCACCAATATCTGAAGGAGAATCCTGTGAGTAAAGGAGGAACCAGGGCTCCCCAAGTCCCAGTTGCCTCATTGAAGGTTGCCAGGACCAGGGTCCAGATGGCCACCCAAAGCCTAGTGTTGCACTGAGGTGACTGCATTCGAAAGCTGTACACTCTGGATCCCAGCCTGCCCCTCCTTTAAGAAATCAAAGATTTTGTAACCGATTTCATTTCCAAGGGGTCCTCCCTTGCCCTCCAGACCCACTGCTCCTGGCCTGGGGTCCTTCTTTCAGAGTGGTCTAAGCTAGGGACCTTGCGAGCTTTCTTCCTCACAGGTGCAGGGCAGGAAAGGATCATCCCCGTGAACACATGTGTGCAGGTCCAGCTCTTGGGGTGGGACAGGGCAGGCAGGCCTGGTGCAGCCCAGGCAGGATTTGGGCATAGTTCATGCAGGAGCAAGACTTGCAGGTAGAGGGCTGGGTTTCTGTCCCTGTTCCAGGGTGACATGGAGTCCAATGGGAAGTACATCACCAAGTCCGGCACCCGAGTGGACCACCAGACGGGCCCCATTTTGTGGGGAGAGCCAGGGACCAATGGCCAGCATGCTTTCTACCAGCTCATCCACCAAGGTAGGGCCATCTGGCTTAGGCAGGAATGGAGCTGCGGAGGGAGGGCTGCGGCACAGGCTTCTGGCGGAGGTTAGCACCCTCCTATAGGCTAGCTCCCCCGGGTTGTACGGGTGACCACAGCGCCCTTCACAGGCACCAAGATGATACCGTGTGACTTCCTCATCCCGGTCCAGACCCAGCACCCGATACGGAAGGGTTTACATCACAAGGTAAGACCCCACCTAGACCCTCTTCACACGTTCTTAGACTCACATTACATCCAGACCTCTTCAGGCTTGACACTTGGGTCAGCAGTTAAAAGTAGTTTGTTTTTCTTTGTTTTGTTTTTGCTAAAGGGCACATGTACTTGCCAGAGACAGACAGAGAGAGGGAGAAAGTGAGAAATCACCCCCCAGCAGGGACGGCCATGCCACAGTTCTTTCTTCTCCATTCTCCTCTTGGGATCTGAGGCACATACACACACATGCCTTGCATAATTTTCAAGCTGCTGGGTCTGGCACTTGAACCACTTAGTCAGCCATGTGGGATCCAGTGCCTTAACCTCCATCCCACTTGCTGGCCTACGAGTAGTTTCCTATTCCTGTTTTACCAAGTTACAGTAGTTTCCTCCTTCTCTATGGTTTTGCTTTCCTCAGTTTTGCCTTCTAGTTTCAGTTCATCATAGTGGTTTGTTTGGTTTTTTTTTTTTTTTAGGTTTTTGCCATAGGGCATGTGCGCTCA